GGCGCCGCGCGTTCCCCCTGTGTCTGTCCCCGCAGCCTCAGCTCGGACCAGGTCTCTCCCCCAGCCCGACCGCACCTGTGCAGAGTGCGCACGTATGGGGCCGGTGGGGGCCCTCAGGGTCACCCTCCTCTGCTCTTGAGGAGGGCTGTGGCAGCCTCCATCCCCCATGAGCCAGGCTCCACTGTGTCAAGGAGGAGAGTCACTTCTGGGAAAGCCCTGCGGGAAGCCGGCACACACAGTGTCCCCACAGCCTCCCCCCAGCACCCTCGTTCTCACCCCTGCCTCTGCCAACCCCAGCAGCGCTGTACCCTCCAACCCACCCTGAGGCCCAGGAGGGCCTGCGGCCAAGTAGCCAGCCCCTACCTACGGGAAGCTCCTGTTGGAGAAGAGCAGTGTGCGGTGGGTGTGCAGGGATGAGGAGGGTGGCTCCAGCCTCTGACAGGCTGTCCCATTCCCGGCTCTGCCCTGGCCCACAGGGTCACACCAGCCAGGCTCCTCGCCTCTCTGGGACTCAGTTGCCTCATCTGTGGAGCGGCATCACCTCAAGGACTGAATGAGCTAATGCTAAGCAGGTGACAGGCTTCCTGCCCGTGCCCAGCCAAGGCGGTCCCTCAAGCCTGGGGACCCCCTGGGGCAGCCGAGCCTGAGGACGGCACTTGAGACCATCCTTTCTGTGTTCTCCCTGCTCTCTAGCTGTGTAAGCAGCCCTGCGCTGGCCACCACCACAGGTACCCCGCTCCACGAGTGCTGAGCCCACCTCTCAGCCCTTCTGGTTCAAATCCACCCTGGGCCACCACCCCGCACGCCCCCTGCACTTGAGCCCAGGCCCAGAGCTGCCCCAGAAGGGCAGGCTCGGCCCAGCCACTGGCCCCAGCAGTGGAGCCAACGCGGGAACAGAACTCTTCCTGAAGAGCAGCTCAGGCTCAGCACGGGCGGCCCCTTGTGCCCTGGAGGGTGCCCGGGGACTGTGCCAGGCGTGAGCGGGCACTGGTGCAGGCCTCTGTTCCTCCATTGCGGAGCCTCGAGTGTTGTGACGCCTGCAGCCTGGGGCAGGGAGCCGCCAAGAGCATTCTCTCCTCCGCCTCTGTAGAACTCGCACAGGTCAGCTCGGGGGGTGGGTCCTCGCGAGGAGCCCATCTGTAAATGGCTGCGCCACACCATCTCCAGCAGTTTCCGTGTGGGTTTGTGGGCAGAGGAGGGACACGCATGCTGTAGGTCAGCAGCCCACTCTCAGGGCCTCTCTGGGCAGTCAGCCCTGACAGAACAGTGTTAGCTTGTAAAGCTCCTCCCAGAGGGTGGAAGGCAAGGGCAGGCGGCAGAGGGTGCGTTCTGGTGGCCAGCCTGCAGCCTGTGCTGGGACCTCCCTCCCCCTCCCCGCCTCAGCACTTTAGCAGGGCTGACTCCATGGGGCCATCGGGGAGGGCGCCTCGATGACAAACTCGATGACAAGCTCAGCAAAGCTCTTGTCACGGCAAACAAGGCCAGGGCTCCTGGACAGGGAAAGTTGGTCAGATGCCATGGAGGAAACTGCTTGAAGGTGCTGCCTGGGCCAGGTCCCTGCTGGTGGCCAGGGCCCTGTGGGCAGGTGGACCCAGGGGTCTCTGGTAAGGACAACCCACTGGTGGCCTAGGCAGGACCTGAGGACCCAGGAAGCTTGTATGTGACACCCTGGATGCCCAGCCATGGGCACTGGCCACCACTGGGTAGGATTTGGCCCAGCAGGCCCCAGGGCAGTCAGGCCTCCAGGTGGGCAGCCGCCCAAGCCAGTAGACTGGACGCACGACAGAGACAGGTGTCAGGGCAGGGCCTGACTAATGAGGGCTCCAGGCTGCTGGGGCCGAGCCCGTGCTCTCTGGCCTACCTGGCAGCTCAGGGCCTATCAAGCCCTGCGTGGGACTCAGGCCAGCCACGCACATGCTGGGGACAGGCAGAGGCGTCAGCTGCTCTGCAGGGCCATGGGTGGCAGGGAGTCCTTTGGCAGCCTGGGCCAGAAATGCCACCGAGCGGGTGCCAGGGAATTCTGTGGCATGAAGAGAGAGGACGTGGGCTAAAGGAGAAGATGAGCGGGGTCTTCTAGGCAGACCTATAGGAAGGGCATCCTGGCCAGGACCAGCAGGGAAAGGTGTGCCTGCCAGAGAAGAGGTGGGTGAGGAGGCTGGGAGGCCAGCTTGGAGCTGGGCACACCCTCGGGCAGCGGCAGGCCTCCCAGGGCATCCAGGCTACACTTGGAAGGCTCCTGGCCCTTCTGCCAGACATACCCCCAGCCAGCTCCTGGGGGCAAGCAACACTGTGCTGATAGTCACCGGCCCACGGCCCACATAGGCCCAGGCCCTGGCTGGCCCCGGCCGACCCCGGCCAACCCCCTCTCCATCCGCCTGACTGCAGGAAGTGCACACTCTGAAACCCTAGGCTCGGTGCACCGCAGTCTCTCCGTGGACACACACACTATACTGCGTGGCCAGGCCCCTCCCCAGCCAACCCTAGGACTCTGTGGGCTCTAGAGGGCCTCCCTCTTGGTCAGCCTGGACACACAGCAGACATTTGCCATCTGGCGGCTCACAGAGGCTGGCAATGTAAGACCCAAGTGCCGCAGGGGTGGCTTTCTGAGGCCTCTCCTAGGCTGGGAATGGCGCTCTCTCTCGCCTCGCCACATGGCCATCCCTCTGCATGTGGGGCCCTGGTGGCTCTGTGGTCCAAATCCTCCTTCCTAGGAGGACAGCAGCCAGGCCTGCCCTAGGGGTGCATTCAGCATCCCTGTAAAGAGCCTGTCTTAAGCACAGGCCATTCTGAAGTACCGGAATCTGGGCATCAGCACTCAGTCTCTGGGGGACATGAGAGGCTTGGCAGGGGCTGTGAGTCCTGGGGAGAGTGCTGGTCTGGCTGAGGGTGGAGCTCGCAGCTGGGGCTCCTGCCTAAGGGCTGGCTGGGGCCTGAGTCTTCTCCTGGTCCCACTCTGGCTTCAGGAATTTCTAGGCCCAGTGAGGCCACTGCAGGCCGGCTAGCTAGACACCAGGGAGGCCAGGGGAAGAGGCCCCAGGGGGGCACTGGTGCCCAGCCCCTGCCTACACCACCCTGGCCTGACGACCTGTTTGCATGCAGCAGTGGTGACACTAGCACCGCCTCATGCACGAGGTTTCCAGGGAAGTTTCACAGCCATGCTTCCTGAGCCTCAGAGAGTGGGTGTGGGAGGCGGGAGGCAGGGCAGGCCTTGCTGCCATCCACCCACTGTACTGAGAGAGCAGGCACAGCTCCCAAGGGTGGAGCTGGGCCTCTGACCGGGCCCTCCCCAAGGCTTCAGGCTGTCCTGAATGGGGGCTGGGCGCCCAGGGAGGGCTGATTCATGGCTGGTTCCTGCCCTGTGGACTGTCCCAGGGAGCTGGCAGGACAGACCTGTACATGCAGCAGCTTGGTGCCAGGCACGGCAGGGCGAGGCCCCCATCCACCTCCGTCTGCAGCAGCAGGGCTGGGCAGGAGCACGGAGCCAAGGGCCAGTGGCTCTCAGGCCTGGAGTCTGTGAGCCTTAGCTCTGCCATGTGGGAGTCCTGAGCTCCTAGGCAAGCTACTTCTGAGCCCCAGAGCCCCCATGACAGGTTAGGGAGAGGGTCTGGCTGTGTGGGGTTGTCTTAGGCAGTGGGGATACAGTGACCTCTTCTTGTGGAACCCATGCTAGGAGGACAGGCCACTGAAGGCAGGGCTGAGACCCTCACTGGGGCAGGGCCGTTCTTTTAGCGACGGCCCACCGCAGACGGGACAGTGAGCTGGCCAGGGTACCCAGGAGGTCTGGTTCCTTGAGCCTGCCCAGGAGGGGAAGGCCGGGCTGTATGACACCCCCCTACCTCCCACGCCTAGTGCAGGAAAGGAGGATCCAGGAGGAGAATGACGCCCAAGGTCACGCGCTGGCGTCCACCACAGGGGCCGGGCGGCCTCCCGCCCCGCGCTCCACTGCCCACCCGGGCAGCATTTGTGCACCGCCCCATCCCGCCGGTCATTAAGGTTCCAGGGAGGCGCTTCGAGCTCAGGCCCGCAGTCGCGCCGCCCCCAGCGCCGGGCTGCACCAGAACCTGC